TTACTTGGGAGGGACTGTAGGAGACACGTTAACCTTGTGTGTGGCCGCCCTCACGACCCTGCGTGAACTTCTGGCTGGCACATTCTCTCCCACTGGAGCTGGTATCAGTTTCATTCAGCACCTTGCCAGTTCCCTTCCAGTGTGGTGCTCACTTTTCCTTGTGTCTGGTCTACTTGGCATTGATGAGTCTTTGCTTTGGACACCTGGTGCCATGTTTAGTTGGTGCCCAAACCACATGCTTACCTAGCTCATTGGGTAATTCATCCCTAGACCTGCCCCTTCCTTGTTCTTGCTTTCAGCCCTAGGGCCAGCATGGTAGACCTTTTGGGACCCAATCCACCAACTTTCCATAGACCTGGACTGTGCTCCAATCCTTCCTGCCCTTTCCCCCGGGGGGCCTGGCTCTAGGAAAATGTTGCCTTTGTGATATGGATGTGGCGCAAAGCCAGGACTCCAAAGAAGGCAGGTGGGAGTGTTGGGGTGCTCCTCAAACACCCCATGGCCACCAGGGTTATCAGCACGGTGACTGCTGGGCACCCAGGGGACTAGACAATGACTACAATGTGCCCAGGACAGAGCAAGCTACAGGAAGCCTCCTCAATGGAGCTGGGGACAGCGGAAACACGTGCTCCAGGTCTTTAGAGAACTCCATGGGGACCCAGCGCTGAGCCAGCAGCCCCCTTCACAACTCAGCCAGAACCTGCACTGCTCAGAAACGCCCTTCCTAACCCTGGGAGCAGCGCTCTGGTGGTGCAGTGGTTAGGGCACTACTCAGCTGCTAACAAATAGGTCAACAGTCATAATCCACCCACTGCTGTGCAGGAGGATAGTGAGGCCGTCTGCTTCCATAACGACTAACAGCCTTGGAAAACCTCAGGGGCAGTTCTGCTCTGTCCTCTAGGGGCGCTGTGAGTCAGAATCAACTCCAAGGCAATGGTGTGGGTTTGGTTTGGGCTTTGCTTCCCTGAGGATCGACAGCCTTGGAGACCCTGTGGGGCAGTTCCACTCTGTCCTCTAGGGGCTGTGAGTGAAATTGACTCTACGGCAGTGGGTGTGGTTGGGGCTTTGCTTCTGTGAAGATTGACAGCCTGGGAAACCCTCTGGGTCAGTTCCACTTTGTCCTCTAGGGGCGCTGTGAGTCAGAATCCACTGGATGGCAGTGGGTTTGGTTTGGTTTTCATTTTACCCTGGGAGGGCTGGGCTTGTGCCCTTCAAAGGAAGACTCTCAGACAAGGGGCAAGTCTCCCTCATTAGACAGGGACTCCGAGAGATTCCCCATCAAGCCTAGGTCTTCTGATCCAAGATGTTTTTCTCCCCCTCCTCTTGGTTCACATGGGGAACAGACTGCTGAGAGCCCATTACTGAACCAGCCTGTCATGTCCCCCCCATGTCCCACAGACGTTACCGGCCCCCCCCCAAAATGGAGAAAGTAATGCTCTTCTTGACTTTGTTGATGGGCATCAAACAGAAGTAGAGACAGATGGTGGGCCTTCTTGGGGGAGAGAGGACCATCCTTCCCCCATCCGCCTTGGGGGCCTGGAAAGATATGAGAGGAGGCAACTCCTGAACCCCGTGACCTTCAACAAGGAAGGAGGGCTCCTCTGAGCTGCAGGTGGATCATCTGTAAAATGAGGGAAAGAGGGGGACTGGTGTGCAGGAGACCCTGGACAGAGTGGGAGAACAATGTGGAACAAAACTCAAAATCATGAAAAAAAGACCAAGTTGGCTGGTCTGATAGAGCCTGGTGAGACCCCCAAGACCATGTCCCCCAGTGACCCTTCAGGTCTGGAATTGAACTCACTCTCATGGTTTCCACCCAAATAGACAGGCATATGGGGTGAACATTTACATCAGGTAGATATACTCCTTAGAACAATCAATCATGGGAGATCAGAAGGGCAGTGTTTGCACAGGGAGACAGATCAGGGGGCGGGAGTGCATGGGAGGGAAGGACACAGGGAAGAGGTAACCACAGGGAGGATATAGGAAGAGAGCTGTTACATTGTGGGGAATTGCAGTCACTGTGATGAAACAACATGTGCATGAACTGCTGTATGGAAAATGAATTTGTTCTGTCAACTTTCACCCAAATCACAATAAAAAATAGAAGTATA